CTCTTTTATATTAGTAGAGAAAATATTAACTCACTAATCAGTTGTGATATATGTATATGACTACTTATAGATTGATTTACATACACGTGATGTGATGATATATGATTGGATCATAATTTCTTTAACCAAATAAAAAGAAAAATTCTTCGCTCTTTTCGACATCTCATCTATTTGTAAAACTTTCTATAACTCTTTGTATATAAGTAGAATTATTCCTCAAAATTAGGGCTGTCCGTGTGTCGGTTCGGTTCGGTTCTGAAGATAACCGAACCGACCCAAAACTTTTGGGTATTTAATAAATGGAATCGTTGGGTCCAAATATAATTATGGAACCGTTCGGGTTCGGTTCCGATTAATTCCGTACCATAATTAAATTTTTTAATATTTACAGCAACACTACATAAATACAACTAATGACATTTCATTCGTAACTTTTACAAATTAACGTAGCCCAATTCAAAAACATAATCTGATTTATTTAATTAATTTGCTAATTTGTTTTAAAAAAATAAAATAATTTAATTAATTCAATATAAAAAATAAAAAAATTTATTTAGTTTCGATTTTTATTCGGTTCTTGGTCTAGGCCCGACCCAAACCCATCGGTTCTCGATAGGTTACCCCGTTCAGGTATTTAACTTATGAAGAATTGTTCGATTAGGTTCGGTTATATCCGGTTCGATTTGGGACTTTTGGACACCCCTACTCAAAATAATAGTCTAGAGCTAATAATCTAGAATCAACAATTATTTAGTCTATATTAACTCTAAACCCTTAAAAAAAAGTAGATTGATTATTAACCTTTCCTTATATATGCACAATCACTCTTTAATAACATTAATTGTCCAAATTTTTGTTAAATTATTACGTGGTTCTCATTAAAAATACAATATTTTAAGGTTTTTGATACCATCTTAAGTAGGGAAACAAAACAAAACTTCATAAAGTTAGACATGTAATGTAGATTTGAACATTTCCAATAATTGGGGACAAATTTTGAAAATATAATGAAAAGTTGGAGAACCGCTTCATCCTTTTCGAAAATCGAAGACCTAATTACTACTAAAATAATAAGTTGATGACCATTAGTGCAATATTCGAAAACCGTAAACATCTTAAGCTCCCCCAAACACGCTCTGAACTCATAAACCCTACAACCTCAATCGGTCGTTAATTGGAATTGAAAACGCCGATTCTATCCCAACTGCAATAATGGCGGACGTCATTGACTCGAACAAAGCCTTAACAAGCACCCGGTTCTCCGACCTGAACCCACCGTTATCAGAACCGGTCCTTGATGCCCTTACCGCCGCCGGTTTCCAGTTTTGCACTCCGGTTCAAGCTGCCACCATACCGTTGCTCTGCAGCCACAAAGACGTAACCGTGGACGCTGCCACTGGTTCCGGAAAAACCCTTGCCTTCGTTGTCCCCCTTGTCGAGCTCCTCCGCCGCTCTTCCGCCCCTCCGAAACCTCATCAGGTTACGCATTAATTATGCTGATATTACTGTAAATGTACTTGAATCTGTCTTGTTTATTAATTATGCTGCTATTAACTTTTTGTGTTGTATTTTTGTGTGTTCAATGTTTTTAGAGAGTTTATATGACAATAAAATTAAATAAAATGCATAAAGTAAATTATTTTTCTTCTGAAAAATCAATTCGGCAAGTTTGCATTAGTTATGCAAGTCTAATATTGGGATATAATGAGAACTGAAGATTATATGTATACAGCGTTTAATTGTAAAAGAAAATCATTATTATTATGTTTAGATTAAACTTTGTTCTGTTTCTTTAGGCAGCTTGCTTGTTTTTTATGGGTACAGGTGATGGGGATAATTATCTCGCCAACGAGGGAGTTGTCTTCACAGATATTTAAGGTTGCAGAGCCATTTATTTCTACGTTGTCGAATGTGAGGCCAATGCTTTTGGTAGGGGGCTTGGACGTGAAAGCTGATATCAGGAAAATAGAAGACGAAGGTGCAAATTTGTTGATTGGGGCTCCTGGAAGAATGTATGATATTATGGACCGCATGGACATATTGGACTTTCGCAACCTTGAGGTGGTTCATTTTTTCCCTCCCTTACACGAAATGCTTAGGTTTCATGCTCCTCTGCATTTAAATGTGTAAACTGTTGTAGATTATTGTTTCTTATACTTTTTGGCAACTCGGTATAAATTATTTTAGTGGGGTGGTACTGATTGACGATTAATCCAGTTAAGGATGACTGAGTTGGTTACGACTTACGACATATTTCGCGTAGTTCTAGCAGTGATGAAATTGTTGTAGATGTTAGAAGAGGAGGCAAGACTAACAATAATGTGGCTATTTTTGGTTGCCAAGTATTTAGTTCCTTTTGAATCTTCCAGTAAATCTAGCAAAAAATCGAATGGTGTGGCGAAAAAGGATATATGTGACCGACTCCAATTTATTAGGAACCTCAATTTGTTGTTGTTTTGTATCTAGTTAAACTCAGAGAAAGTTATGATTTCACTCTTCGTGAACCATAAATAGCAGGCCATTTGTCAATTGATTGCTCTCATTATGGTATTATGGCGTTCAGACTTAAAAATTCATATAGTGCTTGTGAAGTAACTAGATAATTTTATATGACATTATAGACATACCTACTGTTCAAATTTGAATAAATCAGAGAAAATGGAAATGTTAAATGGAATTGGTTAGTACTGAAAACAGTATTTGTTGAGCAATGAATCTAGAGGGTGAACAGTGAGCTAAAGTAAACTGTAGAGAATTCTTGAATTTATGAGCAAAAGCAATGAAGAATTTATGAAAATCTTGATATTTTGTATGGTGTTTCTCTAGATTCAAATAGGTTTATGAAACTTTACATCTTGAAAGAGATTGGGATAACAATATTAAACAATGATGCATTGTTTCGTACTTTCTCTTGTTGGTCGAGGTTAGGAGTTTTTGCACTAAACTCATTTTATTTCTTTCCCTTTTTCCTTTAGTTTTGAGGGGTTCTTTTTCTTCTTTTTTCTTTAGGTGCATAGATATATCTATTGACTATGAAGATCAAGTGACATTTGACTTGTTTCCTTTTTTGAAAATTATATGGGATTTGTTGAACAGATATTGATTTTAGATGAAGCTGATAGGCTATTAGATACGGGATTCCAGAAGCAGATAAATTCAATTATATCTCGCTTACCGAAGCTACGTAGAACTGGTCTCTTTTCTGCCACTCAAACTGAGGCAGTTGAAGAGCTATCGAAGGCAGGGTTAAGGAATCCTGTGAGGGTTGAAGTTCGAACTGAAGTAAAAGGATCGAATGAATTGACTACCTCACAGGAACTTGCCTCCTCGAAAACACCTTCGGGGCTTCACATTGAGGTACATCATTCTTTTTAGATTGTGCACATTTATAAGTTTACACTTGATAATTTGGTTTTATAAATGTTTGAAGTATCTTAAACCTAATGGTGCTTTGCCCCCTCCATGGTTATAAAATCTGCAGTATCTTGAATGTGAAGCAGACAAGAAACTATCACAGCTCGTTGATCTTCTAACTAAGAACAAGACAAACAAAATTATAATGTGAGTTAAAGATTCTATTTTCTCAAAATTTTTGATAAATGCGTTTCCCGAAGTTGAAACATTAAGACATCCTGTGTGGTTATATGATCTCCTTGCAGCTATTTCATGACTTGTGCCTCTGTCGATTATTGGGATGTTGTACTTCCACGTCTTTCTTCTTTGAAGGGATTCACTTTAATATCTCTTCATGGAAAAATGAAGCAGGTAATTTTGAATCTTGTCATGAAAAGTTTGTACATGACGAGTTCCGTGCTTATCCATGATACCCATTTTCCAACATTGTGAATTGCAGGCTGCAAGGGAAAAAGCACTAGCATCTTTTACCTCTCTTTCTAGTGGAGTTCTTCTTTGCACTGATGTAGCAGCCCGTGGACTTGACATTCCTGGCGTTGACTGTATAATACAGGTAGTTTAGTGAAATCTGTTATGTCGGTCTATTATTTTTGTTGTATATGATACAGGAGTTGCAACTTGTGTAGCAGAAATTTCATCTTTCAATTAAGTTGATCTCATGAGTCTAACAATCTGATGCATGCAATTTTCTTTAAAATCACATCACTTTTCTGCTTGAATGAATGTGAACTGACTAAGCATCTGATCCTTGCCTATTTCTAGTTCCTGTTTTATCGAATTTATTGACAAAATAAAAAGCAAAATATTCTAAGGAATGTTTAAGGAACTGAATATGGAGGAATTGATAGCTGCAAGGACGTTTTTTTTTTACTGCTAAGACCGTGTTTCAGCATAGGAGGAGGTCATTGTTATGCAATTATTTTACATAATGGGATGAAAGTAAGTTGCTTATGTTACTTAAAAATAGATGCTATCAGCATCGGTTCAAAATTGATTCTTAATAATTCTTCTTTAATCTTTTACCTTACCTTTAACAGCATCTAATTGTTGCATGTGTTCTATTTGCAGTATGACCCCCCTCAGGACCCAAATGTGTTTGTACACAGAGTTGGTAGAACGGCTAGGATGGGGCGTCAAGGAAGTGCAATTGTTTTCCTGATGCCAAAGGTTTGGATCTTACAGATATGATTACAAATGGTCTTTTCTGGTTGATTAAATTTTGTATTACATTACGGCAAAGTGTTTCTGGTGCCTACTTGAATTATGATCTTTTTTGTATATCACCTAGGAGGAAGCATATGTTGAGTTCCTGCGGATAAGAAGAGTTCCACTTGAAGAGAGAAAATGCTCTGACGAGGCTCCTGATATTATTTCTCAGGTGAAGACCACACTTTGTTCAACTATAAATCATAATTTTATCTCACTCCAATTTTCTCTGCTATATGGCCGAGTGAATGCATGTGGTCCATGTAATATATATTTTCTTTTAGTTTTTATATGACTGAATGAAACGATGGGTCTATAGCCTATAGTCATTCATTGTTGACACTTTTTCCATGCCATAATAATAGAGGAGGCAGAGATAATTTCTCACACACACCAAACCCGCTGTTAATGTCGTGTTATTTTCTGTTTTCCCTTTGCCTACGTGTTTGCATCTAGGTGATAATGTTTATTAAATTTTCATAAACGTGCACACTCAGGCATGTACCTATGTAACATCTCTTGTAATTCCTTATGATGATGTGAGATATCTTGTTTCCGATCTAGACAAACCTATGCCACAATTTATTCTACCTTTCCACTCCCTCAAGGACCATGTTCAAAGTCAAACTGCAATGACCGAAATCCTTATTATATACCTCGTTCGATGATGATTGACTTCTTCCTCTTGGTCTATCATTAAGACTAGTTTATTCAATTTTTTTAACCGGTCTAGCAGCCTTTGGTTAATATGTGCAAATCTGTTCGCTATGCATATCAAATTGAAGAGGTGACCTCCACTCTATCCCTCTGTACCCATTCACGCATGTATATATATGCTTTTTGCTATGAAATCTGTAATCTACTGCTTAATTGTAATGGCTTTTTGTCTGTTGCAATTCCTAACCAGAAACTGTTAGGTATATAGCATCTTTATTGCTCTTGTAACTTAATTGACATTGCGTTAATGCTCTTTACCAAGAAAATTTCTTATGTATTAATATAATGGGTGAAAATTGTCTTTTCCAGATACGATCAGCTGCAAAAAAAGATCGGGACATTATGGAAAAAGGACTCAGAGCTTTTGTATCTTATATTCGTGCTTACAAAGAGCATCATTGTTCTTATATTTTCAGGTTGTTTGAGATATTCAAAAAATTCTTTTAATAGTACTTCTGTATTGTGACTAATTGTCTTTTTATGCGAAGGTGGAAAGAACTTGAAATTGGGAAGTTGGGCATGGGGTATGGCTTATTGCAGCTCCCTTCGGTGCCTGAGGTAAAGCATTACTCTCTTTCTACCGACGGTTTTGTCCCGGTCAAAGATATAAACTTGGAAGAGATCAAGTACAAGTAAGGATTATTTGCAAATTATATTGTCTAGTTGAGTTTTCTTTGCGTATGACTGGACATGTTTGGCAAAAAGTAACTTTCTAAGAACCCGGGGGACCCACAATTTGTGTGGACCAAAATCCACACAAATGCTCCCACAGCTTATAACCCAGATGAGTTGGGATTTTGGTTCAGTCTCCCAGCTTGTAAGAAAGCCACTTTTTTGCCAAACATGCCCATATATATCACAGTCAAATTTTTTTTTTTTTTTGGATGTTTAATAATTTTTCCTGAACTGTCGGAAGCTTCAAAACACAGAGAAAAATAGTTTATTAAATCTTTTATTCAAAATGCTGATAAATTAATGCTTTAGTTAGAATCCCCCAAAATTAATAATCTATTTTGTTGATTGGGGGGTGTTCTGAATTCATTTTTCCATGATCTGTGGCCTTGTCAAGGCTGACAAACGTCTTAGAAAGATGAATTCTCCACAAATATCTGATTCTTTTATGGCTCAATTATTTTAAACACAATGCCTTGCGTTTGTGAATTCTCTGAAACTACTTGAGTTGTTTTAAATTGCATGTATCATTATGCAAGCATGGACTGAATATATCATGTTTGGCTAAGCCTAAAAATAAGTTATTTTGAAGTAAATTTTGGTTTCAAAACATTTTTGGATAAGTTACTTTTTTCTTAGTTTTAAGGAAACAAGTTAATTATTTTGAAAGTAATCTTTACGTGTTCAGAATAAAACTTGCTTACTTAGTACTTTGATTTATTTTAAAACTTGCTTATTTACTTGTTAAGTAAACTTACAAGTGAACTTTTTAAGGTTAACCCAACTTGATAACAGTGGCAGCCAGTTGTCATCTTGGATGTCATATTTTCATATATATATATCCTTGTATTTAGAATTGTTTTCCATCTAGGGATAAATCTCGCGAGAAACAAAGAAAGAAAAATTTGGAAGCAAAGAGAGCTGCAAAGGAACAAGAACAAAAACAGAAGAAGGCTAAAGCCGCTACTACCACGGTCATGAGAAAGAAAACGGCTAAGCAGAGGCGTGCTGTCCAATCTGTGGAAGATGCAGATGAGTTGGCGCGAGAGTACCGACTTCTGAAAAAGCTGAAAAAGGGTGCTATTGATGAAAATGAATATGCAAAATTAACTGGAACGGAAGATTTGCTTTGAGACTGGAGTGAGTTTCTCAATCAATGGAAGATGCAGATGAGTTGGCACGAGAGTATCGGCTGCTAAAGAAGCTGAAAAGGCGTGCTGCAGATGTAAATGAATTTGCCAAATTAACATTAACAGAAGATTTTGCTTTTTAACTGATAAGACTGTATGGTTAAAATTCAATGCCGGGAGCTCTAAAGCTATTGCAAATGCCAGAGGTAACAAGATATTTATTTACAAGGACAAAAGGCAGCTTAGTATGTTTGCAACTGTAACATTTCTTTCTGTTCTAAAGTTTTTTGAGGAAATCGTGTACCTTGTTTGGATTAAGATTATTGTAGAAGTTAATTACGTCCTTTGTATTTTCCTTATCTTAACAATCTTTAGCGTACATTTGGCTAATGTTTATAAATTGTTTATTAGCACTCGAGTCACCGTTTATTTACACATCTTGAGGGATTCACGAGTGTTTTACTTATCAATGACTTATTTCTATTTATTCGTAATTTAAATTGTTAATAAACACTTTCCACAAACATACAATTATGCATAATATTATATTATTGTTGCTTGCAAGAAAGTGAAAGATTTATTGGTGCTTTCAAGGTATCAACTTTATTGCCTTTTTAAAACCTTTAATAATAGACACTTGTGTATAAATAGAGTTCAGATTTTTAGTTCCTTCCTTTTGCTCGCACTTCGGCACTGATGAATGCCAACCACAACCTTAGAATATCTACTTTTGTTTCTAAATTCTGCACTTACTTTTTATCTCTTCAGTGGCTTGTTGCAAAGCTGACACTCCTGATATGTTTCTTTTTTTGGGGGGAAATTTACAGTTGGGGTCCCCAATCTATTTGAAAGAAAATAATTAGGTCTTTCATCCTACAATTTTGTAGCAACTGGATCCCCAGTCTTTCGATTTTAGGACACATGGGTCCTCAATGGGCTGTTTCCGTACACACGTCGTTTTGGGGCCGAATTTTTTTTTTTTTTTTTTTTAACACCTTTTCATGTTCTTTTTAAATCTCTTTTCCTTTTTATATTTTGATGATTGCGTTTGCCGTTTTGGCCACTGAGCATGACATTTTTCATGTAATAATGATTCCATTGGAAACCCAATTTCTACAAATTGAAGGATGAATATCCGTTTGCTCTACCTCAAATAAGTTGGAGACTCCATCTACTTTTCCCCCTTCCTTCTTCCCCCTTGGTGTTAGTGGTATTAGTTGGAATAGAACCGGCGGAGTCTAAAATATCGTTGAATGATGTTACATCATCGATGAGCAACATATCTCCTGCCCACTATGGACTGGAGATTAATTCTATTAGTTAGAAATGAATAATATTCCATTATGATTTTTCGAGAGTAGCTGAACAAGACACAAAATAGATAATGTTATTATTATTATTTTAATCTGCAATACAATTTCACCGGGGTTCTATCAAGCTAACGTGATAAAGGAAAAAATAGACATCATATAGAGCTCCGAATAGATTCAAAATATTTTTTTAGACTCAAAACAATATTTATATTTCTTATGCAAATTTATATTTAGTTTTATTTTTTCTAAAAATGGGTCTCCGTGTTTGTTGTAATAACATATTAGATTGGAGACCAATTTGGACTTATTCATCGATTCATTAAAAACAATGCTGCGTAGATCGAAAGTCTCTCGACTTGCATATCACGTAGAAAAACAATTTATAGAATGCATTATAGATACTCTTAGTTATGTTTCATTTCGTATTTAACATATGTATGGATATGATAGGTTGATTTGAATCTCTATCTCACTATTTGAGACACCACTAGTTTAATTGTAAACTAATGAGATGATGAGTTTGAGGCAATTGCTTAAGTCATTAAGATGTACACCTCCATCCCATTTGTATATGCTCATTTAATTTTTCACACAGGTTAAGAAATTTTATTTTATGCTATTGAAAAAGCAATTTTTTCAAAGAATTTTCTAGTTTATCCTTATTTAATTATTAACAACTAGTAATAAATTATGTGTTTTTGTCCGTGTTTCCAAGAGGAAGTGATAATGTATGGATAATTCCAAGAAGATGAATTAAAATCTGTACAATTTCAAGATTAAGCAAGAAGAAATGGTTATAACTAGATAATTTAAATAAATGTATATTAGTAAACGAACATATCAAATAATTTCTCAATAATAAAGCGAGAATATATAAATGGGACAAAAAAATAAGAAAAATCAATTTATATAAATGGGACGGAGGGATTAATTGCTACAGCGAGCACAATAGTTTGGTACGGTCTGTGCCAAACAATTTTTAATGGGCAATTATGTAACTTAGTGGGTAGAGATGTCAATTCGGGTGGTTCGGGTCGGGTCGGCTTGCCAAAATATGAGTCCGGTAACGGTCCGCGTGAAAAAAAAGCCCGCTCTCTACTGGTTCCGGGCCGGTTCCGGGTCTGCCCACAAATTTTGGATTACAACCCAAACCCGCCTGCTGACCCATCCGGGTTGAGCCCATGCGGGTCACGGGTCGCGGTTTGTTCCGATTTGATAGTATGATTATATAAATAAAATTATAAAAATATAGAATTTTTCATATTTATAACAAAAAATATTTTTTTTAAAATGTAAATTAAGTATTGAACAAAATGATAAATTCATATTTATATCAAGAAATGTTTACATAGAATTCAAATTTAATATTACATGAATTATTTATAACTCTGCAAAGTTAAATATTTAAATTTAACTAAATGCATTTCTAACTACTATTATCAAATATTTATAGTATAAGTACATCCCAATTAGTTTAACACCTACTTTTATTATAATTTATAGTTTAAGTACATCCCAACTAAATTGACACATACTTAAGTCTTAAGTCTTAACTATAATTTAGTTGTTCAAAAATTATATATTTGTTTCCCAATCAATTTTTAGGAACTGCAAGATTTTTGAAATTTTCAGCAACAACATTAATAATTTTATCTTGAATCCTTCGATCGGCGAATATCCAATCTTTCACGCATATGAGAACTTTCAAAATATCTTCTTTAAGTCTAGATCTTCTTTTGTTCAATACTATGTTACCTGCACTAAAAGTAGACTTAGATGCCACCGTTGAGACTGGAACTGTTAGTATATCTCGTGTCATTTTAGATAATACAGGGTATGACCGCTCATTTAATTTCCACAATCGTAAGATATCTAAATTATCCACTTTATCTTCAGGTATTAAACTATAATGATCAAATTGATAATATCTTTCTAATTCAGCAGATGTGATACTGGATTTGCAGTTGAAGTTGAAGTTGTAGATGAAGAACCAAGAGCATTACGTTTCTTAGCTATTATGGAGAAAAAAAGATTTACTTTTAAAAGTTGTACTAGAGTTTGTAGAAGAAATATTTTCATTATTATCATATTTAATATAATAGTTGTTATACATTTCATTAATAAAAATATCCAATTGTCTATTTGTAATATTTATGTTAAAAACTAATGTTTCAGAAAGTGAGTCTAAAATACAATGAACTCCAAACAACGTAATACGAGGATCTATTATAGCTGCCACTGAAAAATTAGTGGCATATTTTCATAATATTTGTTGGGTTTTTGATATCCAATAAATTCGAACAATGATGTTAAACCGTTTTATTTGTTGGATTATATTTCATAGGCATCGGCTGATGATTGAAATTGTGTATTGACAGCACAATCGAACCAATCGAATCACGTAACCCACTTGGGCCATTTGAAGCAACCTAATTATATTAGTGTTGCTCATGGCCCAACCCGAATGACATGGATGACTTTAAGGTATTAGCCCACTTACCCCATTTCTATTGGGCCTATTATTTTGACCTAAAAGCCCAACCTATTCTTAACCTATTTAGTTTGGTTGTCCACTACTATTACCGAGTGGAAAAGATTAGAAGCAACCGGTTCCTTTTGTGAAGAGAGAAAAACAGGTTCTTGCTTTTGCTTAGTGCAACTTTGGCTTTGTGCCTTCTCCTAAGAAACCCGTCCCTTCTTCTTCATTGTTTAGCCTTTGTGGTTGTTCCCTTTGGTTGTTATCTTTCCAACCTTAGTCCTGTGTGGGCTGTACAAATTGGAGCAACCAATTGTGTGTTTGGAAGTGCCGGTTTTGGAGATTCGATTGGTTGGTTGTGGTTTGTCGATTGGTTGGTGAACTGAGCTTGGATCTTGGTTGATTGAAGACCCAATTTCCAACAAATGGTATCAGAGCGAGGTTAGGATGATTTTCAGGCCAAAAAATCGACCACAAACAGACCAGAAAACGCAGCAGAAACCAGGCAGAAGAAACTGTCCAATTTTTTCCAAAAAAATCGAACCTGTAAACCCATTTTCTGGCCAAACCAGTGGTCGTCTGGACAAATGGTGACCACCATTGGAACGTGCAGGTCGAGTAAGTGCTGGGTGGCTGGCGCGTCTGGACGGCGGCGGCGTGTGGGGAACTCCGACGAGGCGCGTGGCGGTGCGTGGAGTCTCTTCTGAAAACGGTTTTTTCAGGCAGTTTGTTATATTTGATTTTCTGAACATATTGATATATTTGGTTTAGTGTTTAAGGTTACGCAGAAAAAGTTGGACCATTTTGCCGCTGCGCATTCGGGATTCAATTTTGCATTCCGTTGGTTGCTGCAAACTTTAAGGCGTATAGTGGTGGCCCTAAAGTGTTAAAATTATATTTCTCGAAATTTACGGCCGCTCTGGTAAATGGCTTATCCTGTTTAAATTTCAGCATTACCGCGTCATTGTGTGGGGTAACATTACTATTGGAGTTACCGTGAAGGGGTAACCATTGCTTGTGCTAGAAATTTAGGAATTAATTGCTTTATTTGAAGTGTTGAATTTTAACTGCAAGTTGGTAATTATTTTTGTGCTATAACTGTTGTTTAGTTACCGTGTGAGACTACATTGCGTGGAAATTTTTTGAATTTGTTTGTTTGTTTATCTTCGTATTGCATTGATTATCCTGTTAGAACACCTTGGACTTGACCCGTT